GTCCGTGTCTCCACGTTTTGCGCTTCATTAACCGACCTTCCCTGCGTATTTCATTTTTCGCCCCTATTTTAACCATTAGATAAGCACTGACCGAACGACGGGATCCCTGAAACCTTATTGTTCGTCACTTTGTTCCTTTTCAAACCATGGGGATATTTAGGCAACACACATGAAGCGAGTGGCTAACACATACAAGTTTCGAGGAAAAATATCATATGTCAGTCCAGACTCGGCCTGGCCTTGGGGTTGTCAAAGTTCATGGAAAAAGGAACTGCCTTGCCACATTTTCGCCATCGAAAACCTCACGTGGATCTCATTACCATCGGTTATAGTTTACTGTAAACTGTTGCTCTTCTCAGGGGAGATGTACCCACCTCACCGGGTAATTAGGGAGACGCCGGATCTGAAATTGGAGTAAACAGATCAAAACGCTAAAAAGGCTCACCATCCTCTGATCTTGATAAATTTATTCCCTGACTGATTCTTCGGCCTGGTCCTCCAAAGCCAGTGGTCTCATCAGAAGGGTAGTAAATTCCTAAAAATAAATTAGGGATCCACGCATAGCGTGTCGCGCCTAGCATGCAAGTAACGACAACATTCTGGAATCGCTGGCGTCTTCGGGGCGCCACATTGGCAATCGGAATCAGGCCGATGTTTGAGCATCAATCCGTGAATCTGTGACTCCGTGAGCATGACTGGCTGCCAATCAGAGCTCTGCTTTATGCCGGACAGATAAACACTCTGCTCCATTGACCAATCATTTCGACCGTCAAGTCGCTGTTGGCGTAGAATCCCTCATTGCGGCGTTGTCGGCTGTTACCGGGACACAACAGTGCAAGCTACTGGACCTTCTGCTTGTAGAACGGCCGCGTGGGCTAAATTTAGGGAATACCACTATTACCACAACTTTCCAATTCTTGATTTTTGTGACCTACGAGGAGTTCATGAAAGGCTTCGTAGGATTTTAAGAACAAATATGTCCTTACTTTGGTTCATGTGCACTGCAACTGCGTTTTTCACTGTTTGTTCCAGTTGCGCTCCGTCTATGCCTTAGGTAAAACGTTTTTAAAACAATCCCCGGCGACTTATACGGTTTCTAGATGCATGTTATGCGAGTGTTGCTGACAAATCATTGATACCTAGTGAGTCACGCAGCGACTATGTTTGACTATACAGTCGCAAATGAGGTATTTATCGTGCAGGTCCAATTTGTACAAGACGAATCAACCAGAGATTGCTTTAGAGGTTATGGTAATAGCGTCAATCAAATTAAGGCATTAGATATCATTGAAAACGTACTCGGACATATTCCTGCTGATCAGTGGTTCAGGACAACAGTTCACGGCCACAGGTAGAAAGAGCAACGTGCACCCCCGTTTGCCAACTTTGACAGCCGGTGTCGCGTTTACTAGATGGACTCCGCGCAAAAATATGGGGAGAGTGGAAAAGTCGGGATGTCAGAAAACTAGTTTTCTACACCGGTTCTAACTGGCCGTCCCAACGTGCATTTGGAGTACATAAATCGAGCTGAACCCGTGTATGTCAAAGTGAAATTTCCATTCCGTTTTCTGCTGCCAGCAGTGCGCTGCATGAACCCATGCATTTCAGTTTTCTCGCGCTTGCTTGGCAAAATATTCTCTGCCGTGGTCTTACACCATTTGTTCTTTCTCTCAACTGCTTATCTGGTCGCACGACTAATGTGTCCGGCGAAGATAATCGCCGTAGTTTACAGGGTTAGGCGTCTAGGGTCAGTGTTACCTAAGCACGCTCACAACTCAAAATCCCCGTTTGAACGAAACTCAAATATACAATTGGTTCTCTCTCCAGCATCTCAAAAACACTGCTGACAATTTTGAGGAGGATGTTGGTGGCTCAGGTAACGTAGTTGGTCGTCAGTTTGTGTGCTGAACTGGACGATTTGAGTGCAAACTTTTCACCGTCAATTGAGGTGCCGTTAGCAGTGCGTTGTGAGGGAGCGTAGCGCTAGATCAACGCACTGATGTCACGTTGCTTGGTGGTGGGACGTTTGCAATTAAATTGCCTGACTGAGTTAACAAGCCGATGACCACTTCCAGCAGTAACTAAGCTGACCAACTGCCATTGCTCGCTTGGATTCCCGGTCCGCAACGGAGCCCTAGGCAGGAACCCTGGAGGGCTTCACGAAAGGGTTGTTTGGGTCACATCACCTTGCGTATAGACGCCGCGCTACAATTTTCTGTTCCTTGCCCTCAAGGGTGCGTTCGATTCTGATAACTTTTTCCAGCACGCTTGCGCAATAGAATATACTCCAGAAGCTCGTGAATATCGTGCTTTATTTGTATTCACGCAGACCGTCCACAAAATACCCACCTTAGCATATCCAGCTACTGCGGCTTCTGCAACACCAAATGTGCCGGAACCTGGAAGAGAGCTGGAGGGCAGTCAGTCCAATCGCGGTACTCGTGCCCTTCATCCTTGCCTCTAACGGGCAGCACACATTAATGAGGATTGGATCCAGCAAGGACCACCGGTTATCCTGCTTCATTGTGTCAGCGTTAAAAGCGTCCCAGTAGACGGGCCTTCAGGATTTGAAAACAGACTTCAAGGTGTTCAGGAGCCTTATTGAAGTCGGACGTACGGAAGCTGCAGCCGAGTGAGACACGGCAAGCACAACGGTCGCTCCTAGTGCTGGGATCTGCGGAGAAAGTATTCAAACCTGTGTGGGGTAGTGTAGAAGAGGGAAAGCTTGAAAGTCTAAGAAGGGAGGTGTCATCACTAATCTGTTTTCACCCACCCGGCCTGCTGTATGCAGCAAGTAAGGCGACCCGACTGATGGAGCCACGCGACTGCCGATATGGCATGAGAGTACTGTTATTCGTGTCATGATTGTACGTGGGCTGGGATACTGCCAGGCCATGTACAGTCAGACGAGAAGACATTTAGGGTTCTCGATCAAAGTCTAAAAAAGCTAAAAAGCCTGATCACAAGGTAGCGGTGTTTGGCGGAAAATGCAGGTGAATTGCCATTTTTATGGGACACATCGTCGCACCTCCCAACCCACAACCTATGTGTCAGGAAACTGTTATTCAAACCTCAACCCGGTTTGAGGCTCTGAATGTCACGTGGATATTACGCAGTATAGCTCAGTGGATCAAGGGGCGCACAAACCGTCACCATGGTAAGGTTGAATGTCTTCGTGACGGTGTTGTGGATGTAACCGGTATTCAATAAATGCGCAGTTTTCAACTGAAGAACGTGTAATCATTGTGTTTGACACGGTTTTAAAAGACGGTGGATCGTTTCTGCTGATGACGCCTTCCAGTGTTGTACTCCGATGTGTTTATTTTAATAATTTTGGGAGGTGTAGGTGCCCCACTCCTGGCCGTTTTTTACAAGAGCGTGTTTGTTTCTACATTAACCGTTCAGTTACAGCTTCCTTTCCGGTGCCTAGCTGCTTTCGCGCCTGAAAAAAAAACAAGAGGGGTGAGATACTGTCAGGCTATCTAAAACTAGACACCAGCAGTTGAGATGCTGGGACTGAGTTCGGATCATAAACCCTCTGACCAGTAAGATGCCGTTTTAATTGTCATGCGCTTGAGATTTCGAAGCCAGATGTTCGTTGACAATGCACGACTGTTGCCGCTCGACCACGGATACTTTCTCAACACTGCATATGTACCCCAGGACCATCGGATTAGAAATCCTGAAGCCAGACGAGTGTCTTTACGAAACAAACCAGTCACTTGTTTGATGATCGGTTACCTCATCATGCCTTGTTTGCTGAAGCACTTGCTGACTAGGAGGCTCCAAAAGGTGGACAACGTATGGACAATGCATGAAAAATAACGTGCTCTTAGCTACACCAGCAGGTGTCGTCTTCAGGGTTGAGGCATAACAAGCGCAACACATTATTCGATGGAAATACTCACCGATATGGTGAAATCGCCTCATCAATGACCTCGTTGTTATCTTTGTTGTTCTTCGTCAGCAAACTACCACATCCGTCGAATTTCTCCGTCCTACACCATCTGCTGCCATATGTTGCGGGGACCCAAGCTACCTTTCCTTAGTGGTTTACGTTGTCAAAGTGGTTTGAACCCAAATGGACTTTCAAACTATTGACTGATCTACGCGCCAAGCGAAGAGTTACGGGAAAAATCTTTCGTTGATTTGATAAGCGCAGTTCTTAATACAGAATTCTGTTTTGCAAGAAGTAAGCTGGTCAATTTTTTTCGGGGAAAATCGACCAGGGTTTGACGTTATTCATTTTGAGGGGTTCTGTCATTTCCCAAATGTTAATGAATGAATTGCAGTCATGCCTCCGTCGTTTCTGCTCCTTAGGGATATCCGGATTAACATACACACTCTCTGGTCACTTAAAATGATCCACCATGTTTTCATTCGGAATAATAGTAGCAAATATTTAATTGGTCGAATGAGAAAATGAGAACTATTAGTTAGGCATCATCCAATTATTGATGGCATCGGTTTAGAACACCGATGACATGCTGTCGATGATGATGATGGCATTATAGAAGTGAGGATGTAAGGGCCCAAATAGCAAGCGCACACAACAGTGACGAAAATTATTAATTTGCCACAATTCCTTGAATATCTCCTCACATAACTGTCGTCTGCAAAGTGACAAAGGTAATTCAAGCCTGCTCATTTGGTTTTCGGTTCAGGCACTTTCGGATGCTTGTTCTCTTAGCATCTCACTCCAAATTCACTGTCAATTTGTCTTACAGCTTGATGGCATCGTTTAGAACACCGATGACATGCTGTCGATGATGATGATGGCATTATAGAAGTGAGGATGTAAGGGCCCAAATAGCAAGCGCACACAACAGTGACGAAAATTATTAATTTGCCACAATTCCTTGAATATCTCCTCACATAACTGTCGTCTGCAAAGTGATAAAGGTAATTCAAGCCTGCTCATTTGGTTTTCGGTTCAGGCACTTTCGGATGCTTGTTCTCTTAGCATCTCACTCCAAATTCACTGTCAATTTGTCTTACAGCTACTCAGGCGTGACACGGACCATGCTGTTATTACTTCTGCTGCTGTTCGTCGCCAGCGCGTTCAAGTTGCTGTTCATGTTTTCTTAGTGAGTTTCATTTGAATGTCAACCTATCTTCGCCAGTCACTCTACTGATTTCGAAGTCCACCGGAATTGGTTGGCAGTAACACATTCCCTTCCTTTTAGCAGGTGGTATTTTGAGGTATGAATCGCTTTATTCTCTTCTTATTCCCTCTAGTCGACTTCTAAATGGACTCTAGATTATCCCCCTTTGTTTGCCTGGTTCGAATGGTTGCTTTCCCAAGTAGCTGCCCAAGTTGACCCAAAAATGTGCGTTATCAGCAACACTGCTTATTCATCTCCCAAGACTGTATGGTTTCAGCGGTGCTCTGTATTGCTTACAGAACTTACTGTTTACTTCGGTCTTTGGAGGTAAGTCCCCTTATTTGCTGTTACCACGTTTTTAGAATATCTACAATTTTGAGTAGGAGTGGGAACAGTATGATGAAGCGACGGTTTATATTGACTTTGGGTTTGCTGGCTTTCAATTACGGCTTGATGATTGTTGACCGTATCCTTTCTGTCAAATGCGCCAGAGATATCCTGACTGATAAGTTGATGAAAACAAAACAAACGTTTCCAGTGTCTTGACGCTAGGATACATGTGGGCTCAACATTTAACCTAGGATTTCAAGGTACACCAGTACACCACCTCAATATATGGCACCATCTCCTTGCACTGTTGGCACGATGAAAGTAGTCGAAACATCAGGAGCTGCCCAATGTCTAATCTTTAGCAGAAGGTTGCATACTCAGTACTTTGGGTAAACGATGACTGGCACACCAAAATTATGCATTGCCACAGGCAGACACCGCAACTTTGTTATGATTGCTGCTCTCAGACAGCGCTCATTTATCAAGCCCATATACCGTCTATGTTGTGGTAACCGTAATGTGACACGAATCGCAAAACTGGACACCGTGGATCCTGAAGCCAACTCTGAGAGTTCACTTACGGCTATTATCAACATCCCCGACGTAATTCAGCCGTTTACACTAGGGATACTTTGGTATCCATTGTGTATCCACTGGATGCACACGCAACACCACATAGCCAGGAAGATTGCCATCCCAGCCATCCAGTAAAGTAAATTTCAAAGGCAACAGTGCCGCAGTTGCTAGCATCTCCAGGACCGAGATACAAAACAGTACTCATTCCTGTTTGGATTTCCGTTATCCGGGCCGTCGGGTTATGTTTCAATTCCTTCTGTGATCCGAAATGGTAAGTTACAGCTTTTCAAACTTGCGCAGAGAATGTTTTAATCTGGATTGTTCCATATTGTGAACTCCATTCTTCAGATGACCATGGACAATTTGAATCAGGATGGGAGCTTTGACCGCTTGTTTCAAGTGGCCACCAACGTAGCTGATTTTCCACTGTAACAATATTTGCCATGGGAGGACTTCAGTATTCAGGGTTCGGTTTGCCATTTGACCCGAAGGACTTTGCGCAGATGTTGCAGGTGAAATCGGTCAATAACCTAAGCGTGCCTTGTTGAAAACACCGATTTTACTGGTGTGCGGTTTCGTAACAACCCAATACGTCGTAATTTTAATCTCTGTACGCAGGTGAAAACTGTTCCAAGTGCGTTTCTTAAGGCGATCTTCGTAATTCATGTGTCCACTCTACTGCCAAGCGTCAGGTTTGTGGTTGGCATACTCTAAGATAGCACGATACCACAGGACTCTAGTTGGACGACACGTGTTATCTAATGAGCTCCCTGTGCAGTCATACGTGACAAGCATTCTAGAAGTATCTATATTTAACCGAAGCGAGTCGCCACATAATCGACCCTCATGCTAAACCGCTGTGATTCCGCCTGGGATGGTGAAAATAAAGTGCAGTCTTCTGCAGGTGGCAGCATATGGACACTGGCCTCATACAGCAGTATCTTGGTCAGCAATTGCGTCGAATTGAACAGGTAACCGTCCAAACAATATTCACCTGGTATATCAATTCTCCAATCTCAGAGGCCTCTGCGCAGCTGTTTGTTACATAAAGACTGAAGAGGACTTGGATTAGCATACGAACCTGACTCACCGCCATATGGATTTCGGGTTGGTTAGTGGTAGTCTCGAAGGCATGCACCCGGGCTCTCATCTCAGTGTGGTGAGCTTTTATAATAATAATAAATTTGTCCGGACAGCCAGGCTTTCGCAGGACGATCCATGATGTTTCTTTATTGACTGGGTCGAATGTTTGGGTGAGGCTACGGGCAAAACCGATACATGTCTCTAAAGCTTGTCAAACGTTGAGAATTCAGAGTGAAGCTGGAATGGTGAACAATCTGGACAACCTATTACCTACTGGATGTCGTCGAGATCACTATCCATGATTGATGCCAGGAAGCGAAACCAAAAGGTAACGAGGACGGCGGCGTTAAATAGTGAAGTCTGAGAATAGACTAAGAGCTGTGGTGGACATCGAAAGCTCGGGACCAGCCGATACGATCGACTGAGTAGTACATTACAAAGATATACATGTATCGCGATATCTCGAATATCGTAGCGACTGAAACATGAGGCGGCCTGGTGCAGCACATTCAGTTGCCTGAGAACATTACAAACGAGAGATTCAGCTGAGTTCCAGGTGAGTCTCTCGAAAAACCAAATTAGTTTGCAAATGAGTGTATATTCGCTAAGGTAGTGTCAGGTACTTTGTTAGATCTGCTGTAGAATTCTCTACCTAGGCTATATTTTTGTCCACACCTCTTAAACGAAAAAAGCGAGAGTTGATTCGATGAGCTGCTATTCTTGACCACAGTTCAGATATACATTTTCAGTACAATGGATTCCTTTTCGGAGTGCTCCTGCTGTCTGTTTCGTTTCTTATTGAAGTGCGTGAATTTCTCCAACTAACAGTGTCGTTTAGGAATGTTATGTTAAAGCAGCTGTGTGCTTCACGGTACTGTTAAATTTAAAACATCTATTCCTCTACGTTGCGCCTGTTTATTTCGTCCATCTCCTGTTCAACTATTGTCTAGGTAAGCTCAATTTAATTGACTATCCACTTTGCCCCAGCTCGTGAGAACCGTAGTTTCCTTTCATTCATAGGCAAGTTTTCCAAGCTCGGGGCCGCTGTCACAGTTACCATGCTGATATCCTTTCTACCTTTTCTCTCAGAGGTTAGTCCACTCCATTCCCATAGTTATTCTTTCAGACACAGTTGAGTGCAATATATTCTCGCTTGTTTCCTTTCGGTCGCGGACTAACTCACGCGTATTGGGCCCCAAATTTCTGGGCTCTCTATAATGGGGCTGAAAAATTTCTTTGTGCATCAAGTAAGCTTTGTGTTTCCTGCTATCTTCTGCGTTGTATGAGTCAGTCAGCGATGGTGTAGTGTCTTTCGGTGTAGAATACATCGCATGTGCACACAACGATGCCTGTTTAGGGGAAGAGCATGATTTCCCTCGGTCGTGATTTGTTCCCCTCGCCTTATTTTGAGAAAGTAAACTCCACCAAACACCAGCTTATTAAAGTCATGTTTACTGCGAACTAATTTCGTTGCCTAGACTGTCGAAGCATGATAATGTTGCGTTCAACAGGGACTTCCAATGCGTTTAAATTAGGATCGAATATTGATTGAAGCGTAAATATATATCCGAACCAGCGTGTCCCATCTTCAATGAAATATCTGACTTAGTTTTTTTATAGGTTGACCCAGCCGAGTACCAAACGAATAAGTTTTACTCTGAAATAAGATGCGCTACTGATAACCTCAGAATCGTAATAAACCGACTTTCAATAATCCAGCGAACAACTGCTCCAAGCTTCTTACGGCTTTATGAGAACTTTTTACTTGAACAAGCCGTGCTAGCCAAGTAGCTGGTACTGAGACTATAGGCGGACCATCACAGTTTAGCAGCAGATGCCTGACTGTAAGAACAACGTCGAATATTCGTGCGAGCCCGCAGTTTTACGTGTTCGTGACAGATGTGGATCTAAAAGATGAAGTGATGAAAGCAGAAGTGAAGGATTATCGACATGACCTTGCGTCTTCGGTGCCATACAGTAGCGGACGTATGTACTCACTTCCGCATAGGATTATTAAAACGAGGCTGGTGAAGTCCATATCGATTCAAACGATGATGTAAACAAATGTGGTTACACTGGCTAGTGCTCTAAATTCACTCTCGGTCCAAAAAATTAAGTCACCTTGAGAAAACTTCGTAGGAGATTATGATTTGAGTTGACCCGATAAGCGCCCTCTCCACAATCTCGTTCAGTGGTTCTAAGTTCAACACAAAATCATCTAGGAAATCTCGCTGCGGTGTTTTGGATAGTAATCAATTCATTTTGCCCCTTCCCGTGAGGATTGAATCCCCAAGACTGCATCTCCTCTTACAGATAAGAAACCATTCGGTCTGATTTGGTCATCTCCACTAACTTGTAGCTCTCGATTCCTTATTCTGATCCTGGGTCGACGAAGCTGTATCGGCTGATACTAGTCTACTTCGGCACACGGCTATTTAGCTGAAAAACTGAACTGAGACTCATACTGATAGACTAGTAGCATCAAATGTCAACGTGTTCAGTTCTTCGAGAAATCTGTTTTACTGAGCAGCTCTTCGATCATAACTAGACGTCATCTGTTCTACGAATTTCTGATTCGCTGTTGTGGTTACATAAAATCCTACCTTTTCACATTCATGTGTAGGGATCACCTAATGTGACCTTTTCTTGATCTGTACGCAATTCTCCTGTCAGACAGCCGTTTTGGACTGTGGCCGCATTTGAACACATCCAGCTCATCGATGACACGAGGACTTGTGGAATCTGCTGATCATGTGGTCTTACCGTCAATCCGTCCTGTTCACACGGCTGTCCTGGTTATTGGCTCGATGCTTGTGAGTACTTATTTCGCCAATCATATGTAGTTCTTCGAGTTTTGCTTTCGGGGTGAACGTCCATGTATATTCTTGTAATAATCCAACGTCCAGTTTGATGTTCCCATTTCTCAACCGTACGAAGCTCTCCGCCATCGTTGCGACTTACCGACCGTCAGTTTACTGACCAATCATCACCAGAGACAACAACATCATGTTGATACTGATGCTTCACTGCCATACAGCCATGAAGTTCATCCAACTATATTTCAAGCCTTAGAATGAAAAGAGTGGGTCAGGGACCGGATCTAGTGCCGGTCTATCGCAAGCACTCTGAGGTGGCCACACTTTCAGGCGCTCAGCCAGACGATCTGGAAACTAACAGCACGAACGCCACTGGAATCAGTGAGGCGCTATCTCTTGCAATGTATGTCAAGCGCAGGAGGGGTCACGGGGACCTAATCTCGGAGGCGTACTGCACTAACAACACCCAAACTCTTCGATTTTTCAGACCCTTCTGCCAAGCCATACGTTGTCCACCTTGCAGTTTCTATCATTCTGAAGTAAGCGCGGAGAAAGCACTCGTTTCGGTAGACGGTTTTTTACTTTTCGTAGCACGTGGCTGAGCAGCCTCAGTTGGTGCTGGGTGTTTTCCGCGATTGAGTCCGCTGCACAACCCGTTTTCTAACTACGAAACGGTCATGTGACCGACCTGATGTGACACAATGAAAGCCTTATGATGGGCATCCCGTTAGATTCGAAGCCTGTGGCCTGACGATTATCCGGATCCATGACTAGTTAAGGCAAGTGATGTGATTGCTCATAAATAGGCAGACCGTCGGATCAGGTCAACAACAGCCTAGACAATCATATCGAAGTTAAGAGTAAGTATACTTTCCTAACAGAGCACACCACTGATGGGGTTGTTGAAAAATAAAAAAACTACCCACTACAGGTTTCGTCTTCCTCGGGGTTCATCGAGTTAGACAAGAGATTCTGTTAAGTCTCCCGTTGACACAGCTGATTCGCAAATGAATGTATTTCGTCAGTTGCACAAACTTGGCCTTCAAGCGGTTGGTGGAAACTCAGGGTGATGGGCTACGGCGGATTTCCCTATTCAGGAAATATGCTGCGTTGTCTCGAACATCGTGCAGGCGTTCTCTGTGCAGCACATCCAGTTGAAAGGTGTCATTGAGAAATTGTTTGATCTTCTGTTAACGATAAAGAATTTTGTGAATGAGTATATTTCAAGATGGTGTATATTTGGCGTGACTACCGATGGTGCGTACGTTCGTCGGAGAGGCGGAGAAAAGGAACTTCGGGGACTCCTTGTTCAATAAAAGTTCATCGTATTGCTAAGAGCCCTTTGTTTATCCCCATATGTACGGTTGGTGGTTGAAGACTCTTAATTCATTTGGTTTTGTCACATTTCTTAAGGAAGCATGAAGTCTGTGCTACGTCTGTAACGAGCGAAGTTGTTCCTGTGACCGACCAATTGAAGTCTCGTTCCACCGACGTACTGGTATGCAGCTTTAGCCTTTCCTTTGATTCGTCTGCGTTTATCGGTTCTAGGGTTGTTAACTGGGATGGGTTTTTTGTCCACCAACATTTGACAAAAAGAGGTGATTGCATTGTGCATTTGACTAGTGATAGAAATCGATGACATCGAGCGCTCACCTAGGTTTTCGTTAATTGTGTTAGTCAATGACGGATGACACCATTTATGCTAGCATAAATTTTTTTCATCTTTGTGGCCGTATTCATCCGAACACACGTCAACTTTATCGCTTGTTTGGCCTGATACTGTTCGCTTGTCCCGGATCCGTTCGTTCCAAATCGGAATTTCAAACTTTCCCATCTGAAAATGCTTGTGTAGGATGTCTGTTGGCTGATGACCACAATTTTTTCGCACATTCCGAGAAACGTCACTCTCCGATTCCATGTCTTTCTTCCCCATCTACAGGTATACAAGGCCTTTCTCCATCAAACGATTTCTTTTCGTTTTCGCAGTGCAGGTGATCGTGTTCCATATTTTGACCCAACTTTCGGTTCTAATTGAATACTTACCAGTGTTTTTATTCTTTATCAGCCACCTCTCCTACGTTGTGCTGCGAAAAGCTCCGCGTTCAACGATATGCATGTTTCTGTACATTATCGGGAATTCCTAACTGCACTGACGGGAGCTGCATGGGCGTCGTTTCTCTTTGGTTGGCAGGTGCACGAAAAAGCGATTATTGTGGTCCTATTGCCTTTGAAGTACGTCCTAACATTTAGCAAACATTTTCGAACTTAGGTGTGTGGAGAAAACGATTATTAACTGTCTATGACTATTGCCAGGATTTTCTGTCTGAGTTACTTGCAATGGAATATAATTTCACTTGCTGTGGGTTTCAAGCTAATGGACGTAATCTTTGTCCTGTTCGCATGTCCCATCACCCTGCAGATCACAGCCCTAATGGATCTTGTGACTCGTGAACAGTGTTGGCTGAGGTTGTGTGGAGAGCATACTGATCGTATTCGAAAGACTATCAGGTATGGAACAGTGCCAATTTGCACCAGCACCAAGGGTTATAGAGAGTTGTTAAGGGTAGTGTATAAATCGACATCATTGCCTTTTGATATGATCGAAATGTGCGATGATTTGTTCGACCAGTTTACTGAATTTCTTGCGTCATATTTTCTTTCAGTTTGTTGGCGATGGCTGTTCCGAACTTCCGCTCAATCGCATTCTACGCTACGACGATCGGGCACTATAGTCTTATGCCGTTGATTCCTACTAAAGCAGGTTAGTATTCGTCTGCATTCTTTGATTCGACGCGCTGCCTATGATTGATCGTTTCACCTCTAGCCAGGTAGATAATAAGTGGTGTTGACTTTATCAACAATTCCAAGATCTATCGTCCCGTTTGGTTTTCAAGCTTCTACCAATATCAAATGAACTAGCAGTTTTCTGCTGTGTGAATTTCTCGTTCAATTGTGCTGGCTCCGAGAAGCTTGATACACTGTTTCTCTAAGATCGTCAAAAAACACACTGGGCTTATCATTAAAAATTTATGCAATTTTCAATCGGTATCAGCTGACCTACTCTGTAACACTTGGTCTTCGATACATGTTCCATACATTCCCGTATAGTTTTAACTCCGTTTTATCCGAATGATCTGGACTGAAACAGATACGTAAGGTATTTCGTGCCCCCGATGTCCTAAGCCGTCGTTCAACGCTGGCCCGTTGGCTCAGATAAGGTACAAGTCCATAGGATATAGACCTAGTCGTGCACATCTACAGACACCACATAAGTTCTGACGCATACAACACTGCGAAAAGTAAAACCAATCCCAATGCATCTTGTATTCCTTCTGATATCGAGTGTCTCAACGTTCTACGTGACAAGCGTCCCTCCCACTGCTTCAGTGAGGTGTTAGCATCTTGATATTTCAGATTCAACCGTCCAAGTTGAAACCCGGACGTGACAATTCTCCTTTAGTGCCCTTGGATGCTTAGGTCACGAGTTGGAGCACCTAGCATTTACGGTTAAGGATGCTTTTATTGTGGGTTACGAAATAATAAGTGGTATCAAACAAGCGTGCATCTTCTCCCTTATTCAGAAACGCCTGCCGTCCTCTTCATGTTCTTGTCGTATACCACAATTCATTGGCTGGTGTTGTTTCGTTTGCATCCTGCCTCTACAAAAACTGATATCTATCAGACCAACGGACCCCTAGGCCGTTTAGCCAGCATACACCTGTGGGGCTTGGTTCCACTTTACGTGGCTTCGTTCATTCTTTGGCCATTGATTCGAATGAACCGTGGGTTGCCATTCCTGCCTCTCATGGCGACATCCATGTACACAGCCATCGGATTATGTCTCGGATACGTTTACTTTCTCTGGTTGAGTTGGCAATCTGATGAGGCTTCAACGATTGTAGTAACAGAGACAGAAGGAACACGTCAAGTGAAGGAGAGAGAAGTGAAAGGAAAACAGGAGAGAACGGAGAAGGCAGACGAGAATCAGCGGACAGCGGAGCGAAAATTTGGAGAAAAACCACCGGCGATGGAGAGGATATCGGGAGGAAGACAACAAGAAAAATCCGTTCCACCAAAATCCAACAAAAAGAAGGCAAAGAGGCATTGATATCGGCGGTTCTCCCCGTTACTGACACGAATTGTTCCTACCGCGTTCCACCCAGTGCAATGTTTTTACCTCGTGATCTTGCTACGTTTTTGTTTGGAACATGAAGCCCGCTGTTGAGCACGTGATGAATTTATAAATGGTCATTTTGATAAAGCCTGTCGATTTTTATCCTCCATTCATACGTTGATGTGATCATATTGCTAGGCATCCAAGCTCCTTAGGGATAATGGGTGTAGGCCGGGCAATGACTTCTGTCCCGATAGCTTCATAAGTTTAGCACAGAATTTCGGGTGCACTACCCCCTCGCAACATCAACTCAATCGTAACAATGTCGTATATCTGGCACCAGAACCACCGTTCGGAGACCACTTTGTCTTTGATTAGGTTAGTAGGCAAAAATACCGACCTTCTCAAACAGGTCGGAAAATATAAATTCGACCTTATCGCTTACAAATGTTAACCACATTTTTTTCGGGAATCACAAAAAGCAAGCGCTGCTTGACATGACAGTCGATGTCCCCCTGGCAATGGAGTGCTAGAACGATGGAACGTCAAATCTAGCTCGACCGGGTACCTCAAGTGGTATGGTTAATGAGTCTGTCAGCTGTACCCATGGTAGAAATGAGTGGTCCAATCGCTAGGGTTTGTTGCAACGAATCAGATCCACTCTAGAGAGTAAGCTCCACGCTGGTTGACCTGGTTTTAATAGTGGACCATAGCAGGTAAATTACCCAGTGACACCCCATTTGTATGGCTGCTAACGTAAAACTGACCCAGATCACTCGATGATGCCGTGAAGATTGAGACACACCTGTCCCTTCAAGATGATATGTGAATCGTTAAGTGCAGTCGAAAATATTCCGTGAGATAAAAACCCATCAGAGGTAACCTATTAAAGTGCTAAGAAATCGTCCGGAACCAATGAAACCACGGGCCCTTTCGTTCTTAGTTCCTGCAGTTATGGGTCGGCTGCTCATCACGACCGCCGTTGCACATTAGGCATCAATGGGTAAAACAAGTTCAGCTCCAAATCGCATCTTAAGCATTCTACCTTATCAATAATTAAAAAGCGTACGATTTATTTGAGATTAAATTTGACCATGCAAACCGAGTGGATATTCAGGAGGATATCGATTTTTTCCATTACAACGGAAGGCTCTTTCTGCATGCCACTTTGGGTCACTTAATTAAGTACAATACCTCAGGAGATTAGCCGTGTCACTTCTCTTCAGAAAGGTCTTGGGAGAGCCACAGGGTCGAGGGGCTAACTGTAGGGTTATGTGCACACTTTAAGTGATTCTGTGGGATCGATTATTGTTTCGAATACTGTAGGTCACTCAAAGACGATTCCTCCCCACTTAATCGTCTCGCGGTATGAGCTAAGAACCCTCCTTCCAGTACAATACTTAAGTTCCACGTTTACGGTACTATCCGCCTATCCCGATAATACAGATGTGTACAAACACCAAGTTGATAATAGACTTTAGACTAGTCTCATCCATTTCGAGATCCTGACAGTCAGTTGAAATACACGTCAGTGGGGTGAAAGCTGACACCAGTATCCTATCTGGCTTCCAGCCATCCATCTCATGGAGGACGAAAATCCTCAAACTCTCAAGCAATGATTCAACATAGCTCAGTTTTTCTTCACCACCAACTATGTTGAGCCTACGCGGCAGACAAATCCATTTCAGCCGCGAGGGGCATCACGACCATTACCATTTGGGTTGGACGCCTGCCAAACAGAAGACCGCGAACTAGCGGTAGTTGATGTTTCTACAAAACTTTGTTTCCCGTGGACGAGTTTCCAGGAAATTCAGAATTTGCCTCATGTATTAGACTGATGAAAATTTGCTTAGTCAGAACGCACAGCATAGAAAGTACAACCAATCTATTTACATTCTTATGTACACTGAAAAAATATTCTGACTACAAAATTACTGGGTATTATATGCCAAATAGACGCGTCTACTGAGCACACCACCGATGCACCTGAAAAAAAGGACAATTTGACACCAGTTAACTTTGATTCTGGAGATCCCATTTGTACGCATTCAATAATATACTTAATTGACGTTAACATGTAAGCTAAGTTGGTGTGCGTTCACTAGGATCATCGTTAACATACTTGTTTGAATCGCCAACCTTTAGCGAGGTCAGCAGGTTTTCCTTCGCACTTCTGGTGGCCTGAGAGTCGTACGCCCGCATGAGGCTGTAAGATAATAAAACACCATTGAGCTGAAGGCTAGATACTGAAAAATGTGGCTTTGAGTTTAGTTGCTAATCAAAAGGTGATTTGGTTCGTGGTGAACAAGTGTGATCAATGGGAAGAACTGAAAGTTGTTCGCTATCTATTCACAACTGCACGTCTTGTAAGCATCCTTGTGCTCCCTTATTCCTGATTTGTGCACGACCTATACCTTGTGCTGGCGGCTAGTGGTGAATACGGCTGACGGAAATATCCGGCTACTGCTCGTCATGTAAGTCAAGAGACCGCTAGTGATTGGCGAATGAAATCCCCACGTGAATTGAATTCACGTCACGCAAGTTATGTGAATGGAGAAGAAGGATCTATAAAGAGATTCTCGGTACTAACCGACTTTCCTTAATTGAAAAACTGCTAAGGTCATGTTCTGATTCATTGTTAGGACCAAACTTGATAGTGGAGCGAAGGGACGAGCTGGTGAATCACGTGCAATCTGTAGAAGGGTGGTGGTATCTGCCCGGACAAGATCATGAGTTGCCTATTGATGGTACGTTGACCACTGGATTAGACTTTGATTTAACAAGACCCATACTCAATTGGGCACCGGTGTCTTGATACCCTATGCAATCTGTGGGTGGTGGTATCTGCCCGGACAAGATCATGAGTTGCCTATTGATGGTACGTTGACCACTGGATTAGACTTTGATTTAACTAACACCATACTCAATTGGGCACCGGTGTCTTGATACCCTGTGGGTATATATATATATATATATATATATATATATATATATATGGGGGGATCTCTCTTCACGCTAATTTCGTTGTCTGAACAGAGCTGCACATT